AAGCCACTACAACTCTTGGTAAATTGTTCCTGTTAATTACCCTGTTAAAAGTGTGCACCATCGTTTTAGTCTAAATTTGTATAGCTTTCAGCCATTGGATCTTTTTATCCGTTTGTCTGCTAGATTGAAGAGCCCTTTATTATCAAATGTTTGAGAGGTGCCTCTATTCAGTGATCTTTCTGACCTCCAGAGCACATGCTCACTAGGCTTGCCAGGCGTCCGGTTTTCAACTGGAATGCCTGGTCGAAAAGGGACCCTGGCAGCTCCGGTCAGCAATGCTGACTGGGCGGTTAAAAGTCCAGTCGGAGGTGCTGCAGGGCCAAGGCAGACTAGTCCCTACCTGTCCTGGCACTGCGCTGCGCCCCAGAAGTGTCCGGCAGGTCCGGCTCCTAGGCGCGGGGGCCACTGGCCTCTGCGCACTGCCCCTTCCCCGAGCACCAGCTTCGCATTCCCATTGGCCGGGAACCACGGCCAATGTGAGCTGGCGGTGGGGGCAGTGCCTGTGGGCAAGAGCAGCGCACGGAGCCTCCTGGCCCCTCTCTTTCCCCCCGCCTCCGGGTGCCTGACTTGCTGCTGGCTACTTCCGGGGTGCAGCATGGAGCCAGGACACGCAAGGAGCCTGCCTTAGCCTCGCTGCACCACTGACCGGGAGCTGCCTAAGGTAAGCCCGTGCCCCAGCTCTGAGCCCCTCCAAACCTCTCATCCCCGGCTCCACCCCAGACCCTTCACACCCAGCCAGAGCCCTCACCCCTCACACATACTTCACCTCAGCCCCCTGCCCCAGCCCAGAGCCCCCTCCCACATCCTGAACCCCCTCATCACTACCCCCAGCCCAGAGCCCATACTCCTTCCTACACCCCAACCCCCTGCCTCAGTCCGGAGCCCCCTCCCGTACCCTAAACCCCTCATTTCTGGCCCCACCCCAGACCCCTCACCCCCAGTTAGACCCCAGCCCCCCTGCTCCAGCCCAGTGAAAGTGAGTGAGGGTGGGAGAGAGTGAGCAGGAATGTAGTGAGTGGTGTGTGGGGCCGAAGGGAAGGGAATGGGAGGGGCTAGGGTGTTCGATTTTGTACAGTTAGAAAGTTGGCAACCCTATTGCTCACTGCCTTGTATGTAAGTCTTTTATCTCAAAAAGCCAGAAAGAAAAGATTCTTCATGTGTTATATTGCTTAGTCCTAATTTTACTTAGATTTACTATCCTTCTCCTCTCTTTAAATTTGCAACACCCATGTGCCAGGGGTGTCGCCAAAACAAGCTGCACTCTCCCAGTTGGAGGGTGGTCCTTTAGGAGCCTTTGTCTACACTACCACTTATGTCAGCAAAACTTATGTCACTCAGGGGTGTGAAAAAACACCCCTGGGCAGCATAAGTTACGCTGGTATAAGTGGTAGTGTGCACAGCGCTATGTCAGCAGGAGAGCTCTCTCCCATCAGCATAGAGTGGCTACATGAGAGATCTTACAGTGGCGCAGCTGCATCGATACAGCTGTGCCACTGTAAACTCTCTAGTGCAGACATAGCCCAAGAGTATAGTCTTTAGCTGTATGATGGTAAAACCTAAATACAGCCTTCAAGCCTGCACCTGGTACAGAGAGGGCTTCCATGTTATGTTGCAAAGACATCAGCACAGATTCTCCCCTACTGGTAGTATTTGCTGACTCTGATTGGACTGTATTGAGACAAGTCTGTTTCAGGCAGGAGGAGCTGCCTCAAAGGTGGCCTCTAACTCAGAAGCATGAAATCAGCGGAGACACTTTTACATACACTTCTTCAGATGACACTTGTAGAGCACATTTCCCTGTACCCTTCTCTTCAGCATCAAGGAAAGCTTGCAGTAGACATTGCCCTCCTCAGTCACAGGGACTCCTCTTCTATTGAATGTGTTGGCAAGCAGCAGTAAGGGAACATAATTTCTCTTTTAAAATCAGTATAAATAACCCATGATTTTCAGAGAATATCACTGCAATTAACTTAGAAACCTAATGATAGTTTGCATTCAAAGGGTGCTGTCTGCGCAATCATGACCTCCAGAAATGCTTTTCAATTAAAAAATTAAATTTCTGAATAGGTTAATTGGATCTTGAAACATTGACCAGACTCACCAGAAATTGTAACACATGCAGAGACCAAACATAGTCAACATCTAATAATTTTCTGCAATCTAGTATGGTAAAGGTAGTCCTGTGCATAAGTTATCATTGAAATAGTGTATAAACCAAGTTTGAAATCTCGACATCGCCACTTTTAATTTGAGGGGACAGAAAAACTTTAGAACACGTTTGAAAATCTACTAATTTTTCAAGGCCTCATTAATTTTTCATAGTGTTTGATGAGCATATTTTAATGAATCAAAATAAAATATATGTCTTGTTCAATTAATCTCATACTCCAGGTCAGTTCTCCTCTTAGTTGGAAAGACACATGGAACTTTATACAGCAGTTTTGTTTTTTTTTCAGAAAGTCTGTAGGCAAGTCAAAATCTAGATTACAATGGAAACTATGTTACCTCCTTAATGGTAGAATTACTACTTTGACTCCATCTGCAGCTTAAATTCAGGAGAATATAATATTCCAAATTGAATTTTGGCCAGGACACTAGAGTTGTCAACTCCTACTCTTATGCAATGTGCCGTGTGATTTTTAATCTATCAAATGAACCTCTTGCTGTACATTGCTTCAGTACTGACTCAGGGAAGAGGGCCACCTACAGGACAACAGTTTCTTCAGCAACAGGGATTTCCTTACAAGTACTGACCAGGCTCAACCCTACTTAGGTTAGAGTTCAGACTGAACTAGAAAAGTAAGGAGATATGATTGCAAGTAAACAATATAAAATAAACAAGAATTCACCTTTTTAACATATACAAGTATGCGCAACTGATACGTGTTCTGTAGATTTTTGAAACAGGATCATAGTCTTTGACTCCTAGCATCCACAAGATGCTCCTAAAGTGCAGGAGAATATGAGAGAGTTAGATGCTGTTGAGAAAGGGTAAAATTCTATGTCTAAATTATCACACAACTGTGATGGCAGGATCCTGCACTAGTTTTTTAGCTCATATGCAACTCCCTCTGAGCTGTCAAAGGTTTGCTCAGAGGACAAGCCTACATTTGTCTCAGTCACTCAATGTAGAGAGTTGACAAAAGCCCCTCATCATCCTGAATACTGACAGGGGAAGTCACAGGACAGCAAAAGCATCCTTGATATGGGAGGGTGCCCTTTTGCCAGCTCCCAGTTAACCCCTGTGCTTTCTGCCAGAGGCCTCTTCATCATCTCTCTGATAACAGAATAGGGCCTGTACTTCCCGTTATCTTCATTTGCTTCTGGGAATACTGTGCACTGCTAAAATGAGTTCAGCGAATTTGCCACAGGCCATTTTCCTCCTCAGATAGCTACATTAATAGCCAATATATTTTAAGAAGATGGAACACAATGGTCCACTCTGTTATATGTGTATATATCACACCAGTATATATTAGAAATAGAGAAAATCTGTTTAGAATTGTCTGAAGTACCCAAAAATGATACCTAAAACAATGCTGAGATGAGTCTAAGAAATTAGGAAGTTCTGAACAGGAACATAGCACATCACTCTTCTCCCATCCTATCTGGTTATCCATCTTACCTACTGTATCAATAGTCTTGATACACAGCAAAATAGGGTCTTTTATAATCCATTGCACAATTGACTTGTGTAGAGTAAGTCTCCCAGAGTTTGATACCACCTCGGTGAATGCCAAAGTTAATCATATCCCTAGAATCACACTCCCTACCACAGCATCCACTGTACAGATGTGTCCAGTTCTGCACTGTGATATTACCCAGGGTACAATCTGGACTGCTGAATAGCTGTCTCTCCTCCAACCTGAGATGTCTTTTACACTGCTTTACAGGTGAACAGCCAGTCCTGGCCAGTTAACACAATCTTCAGCATATAATTTGTTCCCAGCTAACAGCATTGAGTGCTACTAGCCACCCACCCATGAATTACACTGCAGAAGAACACCGGCAGATTCTCTAGTCCCAGACTGTACCCTCAGAAATTTGCATCTTGCATTTCCCAGCACACTACTGAACAATGCAGGCTCATATAAACCCCTCATATAAAGTCCATCATTTCATCAATGGAATATGATATGCACCAGCCTTGTTATCCCAAATGTCGTTTCCCACACACTTTAATCCAAACACACATTGGTTTAGATAAAACAATAAAACAAGTTTATTAACTACAGAAAGATAGATTTTAAGTATTACAAGTAATGGGGCATAAAAGTCAGAATTGGTTACAAAGAAAATAAAAAGATAATACTCAAGCTAAATGACTAACTTAATAAGCTAAGTGAATTTAAAAGCGAAAGATTTTTCTCACCATAAGCTTACAGCAGTCTGTACTGGCTGAAAAGCCTGCCCAGCCATGATTCCCCCTTCCCACCCCTAAGTTCAGTTCTTTGAGAGTCATTGATGTCATGAGCAGACATGAAAAAGAATAGTGAAATCCAGCATTTTCCTCTCCTCTTCATAATTCAGTTTCTTTTGCTAGAAATATCCTTGCTGGGTCATGGTAACAAAATAGTCTCTTGTGGACGTGAGGTTTAAACTGTCCCTGTGATGGAATGTAAATTTCTTGATTACTCCTTCCCCCCTGCTGGAGAATGTCTGCTTAAGTAGGTGATAGCCCTTTAGCACCTGGCTGGGGTGTATGTGTGTCTTTGTCTCTGAAAAACTGATTTGGGCCTGCTTTTCTTAACCTTGGAGCCTGTTATAACAATGTTATACAGTAGAGTCTTGTAACTTTACATACAGTATTGCCACACATATTTTACCAGTACAATAATGTTCAGCAGATTATGATTTTTCAAATCAGACCTCAGAAGACATACTTTGTAAAAAATATATCCTAATCTTATAAAAGAGTGAACATGGAGTACAGGTTGCCAGAGACACCCCTTACTTTTTGAGGACACCAGTGTATTATTATATTCTTTTTTTTCCCCCAGACAAGAAGCTCTTCTAGCTGCCATCAGTGAAAAAGATGCCAATATTGCTCTGCTAGAACTTTCATCCTCTAAGAAGAAGACCCAAGATGAAGTGGCTGCACTGAAGCGAGAGAAGGACCGCCTGGTGCAACAGCTCAAGCAGCAGGTGGGAAGGGACAGAATCAGGCATGTGGGCTGGTGGTACGGGATTATTATCGTGGATTATATAACTTTATCAACTAAAAATATATTGCCTTGCTGTGTACTGGGATGGAACCAGGGATGCTTTCTGATCAGGGATTTCTCCACTTCCTCCTTAGAAGGCATCAGCGCTTTAGTGACAGTGGTTTTACACTTAACATTTAATATTGAAATAAAATATTTAATGTTCACATAGTAAAGTTCGTTTTTTGACTGTTTAATCAACATTAAATGAGTTTAGAAACTGATTTTACAATTTCATAGCATTCAACTTTACTGGTATAGTCATAAATACTGTCACTTTCCAGCAAGATGGCATTCTCCTAGCAAGAGACTCAAATGTAAAATGCATATACCCAGTTTGATCGTGGTGGAAAGTGCTTCTCAACATGTGAGCTTCCAGAGTGTCATACTGAACAATAATGGAGAGGGGTCGCTTTCTATTAAGGGAATGCATGTCTTTATACGACAACACTGGTCAGACTTGTGAATCCCTTTGCAAAACAGAGAGGGACTCTCGGGGGAGGAACTAATGTTGTATCCCTGATAGTATAGTGGGCCTGAATAGATCCATTGAACTGGCTATGGTAGAATGCAAATAGTGCCTTTCTTTTGACTTTGACAGAAAGCATTAGTTGTTTGTATAATTTCATAGCTGTTGATAATGTGTGTACAGATTGACTTTGCTTAAGAGAACACCATATACAGATTGTTTATATCTCCTCAAATCAGAAATTAATCCATAAGTGGATAAGCCCCAGTTTACATCCCAACACGCAATTCCTGAGCTCTTCAGCCATTCAGACTAAGCAAGACTTTCTTTTATTTAAAACTCTTTAGTGGAGAGACATAGATTCATCGAAGGAGGAAGGTACATTGGTTCAGAGAGATTTTGTAGCAGTTCTCTCTTTCAATTTTGCTCTCTGCCTCCCCCGCACTATATCATGTTCCCACCCACTCAAGTTGCTAGTGTGTTACTGTGAAAGAGAAGGTAGGAGTCCTGCCAAAAACATTTTGGTTCTTTAATTTGTGTGCACTAAAGCTTAGATGGGGGAGAGGCATTTTAGAAAGAAGATACGGCATCAGTGTTTTTTTTTTTTTAATTTAAAGCTTGTAGTCCCTGAATTGCAGGAATGTGCCTCAGTATAGAAACATTTCCTAGTGAAGCAGTCAGCATTGACCAAGCTTTCCAGTAAATGGAGCTGCCTGCTTAGGATTGGTTGTCAACTTCCATGAAGGGATTTCCTCTATCATCAGAAGCAAGGGAGGCAAATTGGAGGGCAAGGGTCACCAACTAATGTAGTCCCAATTTACTTGCTCCCAAAGTAGTTTGTCTCCTTGACTGGTTCATGGTGAAACAGTGGTTGGGAGGCTGCTTCAGATGAGGGGGCCAGGGCTGATGCAAGAAAATAGAGCTGAGGGTTGTCTAACAAAGTCCAGATGTGCTATCGTGAGTGCCAGCCAGTGTGTTCCAATTATAAGTCAGAGAGAAGCCCCTGCAGTGCGTGTCAAGCGGGCACCCGCACTGGAATTAATGTAAATCAAGAGAGCTTTGGCCTCCTTTAATGCAGTTCATCCACCAGCCATTTGTCCGAGAATGGCCTGTATTTCTGTGATTCATTTGCTTCTCAAACTAAGATTTAACAAGCAGCATACAATAATTATTGCAGCTTAAAGTCCTGGTCCACAGCTGTGAGTCGTAAATGGAAGGCATATGAGTATAGGCTGAATTTTTCTTCTCTGTTGGCTCAGACCATAGACCTTTGAGATTTCCTGGAATAAGATCTCTGGGGCAAGGTCTGTCATTTACTATATATGTACAGTGCCTAGCACCACAGAGCTCCAAGGCTGGTTGAGATCTCTAGGCACAATCACAGGTTAAATATTTAATAATAACAATGCTGTTGCTTGGGGGTTCCGATCCATGGGGTTTCTCAATTCAGGAGCATGGGAGCTCAGAGTCAGATTGTTATTCATGTGGAATTGTTTGAGAAGCATCATATATATTGGCGGTACTGTATAAATATTTAATAATAACTTTTACTCCCTTTTGATTACAGTGGTATCAATAGATTGGCTTAATAAATTGATAAAGGGATCTCAAACCTTTCATATCTCTGGTGGATGACTGGTTTGAAAGCAGTTCAGGTTGGTAGTGAACAGCTGTTGTAACCATCCCTTAGGTGCTTAAAACTAAGTATTCTGCAGTAATTATCTAAATCAGCGGTTCTCAAAGTGTGGTTCGGGAACCCAAAGTGGGTCGCGACTCCATTTTAGTGGGGTCGCCAGGACCAGCATTAGACTTGCTGGGACCTAGAGCTGAACCCCCACCCAAGGTGTCAGGGCTCAGGCTCCAGCCCCCTCCTGGGGGCATTTAGTAACTTTGTTGTCAGAAGGGGGTCGTGGTGCAATAAAGTTTGAGAACCCCTGATCTAAATTAACATATCAGCTTAAAACAATGACACTGGGGTGTTTTTGAGTATTACTGGATAATGCTGTAGCATGTTTTATAAAAGATCTGACCGGTGCTTGGCAATCATTTTATTCCATAATGGACAGAGAGATGTCAGTATCACAAAAACCACCACTACAATTTTCTAGGTGACACCTTTGTACTCTTATTGGTGATCTCAGGACAGGTGCCAAGGATTAAATGCATATGGTAAATGAACTCCCTCTCACCCCTGAACTTCTTCCTCCATGGGAGATCTGAGGCATATTTGCAAGGGTCAGACAGGATAAAAGAAGGCTTACACTGCTGCTTCATGTGCTGTGCCTGTCCAGTGGACAGATGGAGCATTATTAATCTGGCATCTTTCACCAGTATTCAGTACATTTTAATTATAAAAAGACACTAATTGTTGTGTTAAGTGGCATAATATTCACCAAAAGCATTACCGTTGTCCAGGAAGAATTAGTCACTTCCTGAGGTTTCCCACTATGTAGAAACGTACTCTCTGTGGGTATGATTTCTAAATCACTCTAACCTATCGGTCCATGTGGACTCTGCTGGTGCGCACTAAATGTTCCCTAGTGTACTTTCCAAAAAGCACTATGTTAAAGTACACCAGCAGGGTTTACATGGAACAATTAACATGCAACTTGTTAGTGTGCATTAGAAATCACACCCCTGTATAGCGCATTAACCCACTGTGTACACAAGCCCTGAGAGATCAGCAGTCAGGCACTACACAACACCAACAGTTAATCTCCGGAATAGCCAAAGAAGCATTTAACTTTTAAATAGAGAGGTTCTGAGTCATTTTGTCAGCTGTACACCTTCAGTCCCCTTCTTCTGCCTTTTCAGATGGGGTAATCTTTAACAGCAGACGTGGTCTTAGTTCCTTCAGTAACAAGAGGGCTCTGCCCTGTACTCCACACCCTCTGTGTACCTGTAATGATCTACAATGATGATACTGCAAGTAACCAACCTTTCAGTTATTGCTGTAATACATTTGCAATCACTAGCCCATAGCTAATTATAGACATCACAGTGATTTTATGATTTAGAGGAGGCTTTGGTCGCCAGGGTCCCTGACTTGCGGGTAATGAGAAGAGCAATTACTAGCCTCAGGCTGCCCAAAATTCAGCTTCTGTGGAGGTCTGTTTGACATTTGCAGAAGGTTTGAGTACATAAAATTAAAATCCCCCTGGCCTCCTGTATCTTCCTCCTCCCCTTCATACACAGAGCAGCATGAAATGAGGGGCCATTATTCACCACTCATGGCTCCACCACATAGAAATGAGCCATTTGTGGACAAGCAACACAACTGTAATAATAATACATTCTAACACTTACAGAGCATTTTACATGTCAGGATAGCCATCTAAGTGCTGAAACAAGCCTTTCTACACTACTTTATTCTTCCTCCCTACAAGGATTTGTCTGACTTCCCTCATGAGGCTATGGCATTGCAAAGATTTCATTGTTTCTCAAGTTAATTTCTTTCTTTGGGGAATGGGGGAGAGGGGAAATTTTTTCAACTCTAGAATAGCCTCCCCCCAAAATATTAGTTTTCCATAGTTACTTGTTTCCCTGGAAACCCAGCAGTTTGACACCTGACACAAACTCCTACTATGAACTTTTTCGAAATAAAGTTCCACTGGTAGAGGTATTTCTCTTTGTAATAGAAGAATGTAAAACTGGGTCAGAAGAGACTGATAGACAAGCAGTTTCCACTACCATGTAACCACATGAGAGTTTCCATACTTTTGGCAGGTTTTTATTAACACTCTCCCTAAGGAAACTGTACAGACCCTTTTAGAGTTGCAGATAGACCCTGTTTTGCCCTATCTGTCTAAGACCATGTCTGCTGTTAAAGATTACCCCATCAGAAGATTAATTCCCTTTTCAGCTGCCACAAAAAAAATTGATGGCAAGCACAAAATGCTGTTACTGTGATAACTGGTGCTCTTTGAGATCTCTGTGTATTCCTACTTGTGAGATGGTGCCCCCGCAATTGTGAATGCATGGAGGCAACTCTCAAACCATAGTTACAAGTAAGTAACCTTTCCTTCTAAAAATGGTAACATTATCACTGTTACCATGTATCCCAGTCAGTAGAACAGCAGGTAGGTCCGAGTGTAGAAAAGTTGGTGAGACTAAAACATCTTCAAAGTTCAAAAAGACCAAGCTACTGCTGACTTTGATTCAGGCCATATAATTGTGGCCCTGTCAAAGGATGGCGGTAGGTGATCTAGAAAGTACACTAGAATTTTTTAAATAAGTTGTTGCCATTGTTTTCCCTGCATGGAATAGAGAGAAGTTAAAATAAATGTTTAAAAATAAGTGACTCAGGAAATTTGGATCTGTTTGTTTAGATATTTACAGAACTTGTATATCAGATTTCCCACCATTTATTGGATAAAACTGAAAGGTCTCTATGGTTTCTGGATGACTGTTCAGCCTGTTCAGAGCCACAGCGAATGCACAGACTTATGTTCTCTTTATGAGAAAAATTTTAG